GGTTGGGGGTGTCTGCCATGGATAACAGAGCAGGCAGGAGGGGGAGAGGATGAGGAGAAGAGCGGTGAACTTATTTCTAATTTTATCTGACTTATTTAATTTTATTTTTTTTGTTTTTATCGTCCTGCAGGCTCTGAGGGAAAATTAATTTGAAGCTGAGATTTTTATAAAAATCGTTAGATTACTCTAAAGCAAAATGAGGGAAAATCTGTGTCAATTACAAACATTCTGTTCACGTGAGCAGCTGTCAGTCAGCACCTGTCAACCTCCAGACGCATGAAGGAGCGTGTCTGAACCAATCACTGATCAGCTGACTGATTGAAATACATCTTAACATTCATGARGTACTTTACATTGACTGTTTATGGTTGAGTGTGGGTGTGTAGAAGGTAGAACCTGAGGCGGGACCTCGTGCGCAAACTCTGACGTGCGGCTGTAGTTTATAAAGGAAAGGTGCGCAGAAACATGCGTACGTACGGTTTTATAAATCTGAATTATTTTTGGCATACGCCATTTCCGCCTTTTGGCCGTACGTTCACTTTTAGTGTGGTTTCCACGCAATCCTTTATAAATGAGACCCCTAGACTTTTTTACGTATGTGACCAAACCATGGATACGTGGAAGAAAAATCTGCTTTTCTTTGTCAAAAATCAGACAAACCTAAATTCGTTCCAGTAAAATATATTTTAATAAGATTGTTTCAACCTTTTTTCGTTTTTACATCTTTTGGAAAACAAACAAACAAACAAACAAACAAACAAACAAACAAACAAACAAACAAACAAACAAACAAACAAACAAACAAACAAATAAAAACAAAGCTCCTGTTAAATCAGCTGTCAGCTTTACTGGATTTTGAAATCAAGTTCCAAACTAAAAGACTCCTACAGTTCATTCAGAATAATCCCTTTTGTTTAAAACCACCATCTTTCTTCAGTTATGGCGTATTCTTATCTGGAGGCTGCACAATGAGACCAGTACACCGGYCTGACACTGATAATCTCCTGAAATCATGAAGTCAGGTTTCACAGCTCAAAGTGCAGCACAGTTTTGAACTCACTGACCCTTCCTGCACAGCTGTGCTTCTCTGACCCACAGACACGGAGTTTATTTTCATATTTTCATTTACAGAGAGAAATTTGTCGCAGCTAAATGCAAAACAAGTCTGAAAAGTTGCTAATAGACCTTTTAAGGTGTTAAATTTCAAAYTTTCTCTGTTGCCCCTCATCCTGTTAAAGATAATCTGGACAGCTCTCTCCCATCCCTCCAACACTGGGACTATTTGGATTTTTCATTTCTAATAAGGCCATTTCCAGGACCAAGGCTTAAAAATAACTTGTGTTTATGACTCCTGGGCAAATAGAAACTGCTCATTTAACATCGAGTACAGAATTTACAAAGCACTTAACCGAACTGTAAACGGTCTTTCTGTGAAGCCTCGTCAGAAGATAGAAATCAATAACAGTTCTGCTCCCCTCCCTTTCGTCTGCCTTTTGGTTTCTTCTCTTTGAAACATCTGAATATTTCACTAATGTTGCGCTGAAGACCTGGATCTGCATTAACCCGCACCATGCAGAATCCCAAACACAAAMGTCTCAGTCACATCCACACCCATCTAGATTTAACTAAGATAAATCCTGCAGATGAAGCAAAAAGTCACAATCTCCTTGAATATCAAACGAAACAGGATTTAAAAAAAAGATGATGCAACCGAGTTCCCAGTCATTAATCAGGACTCCACACTGTGATTAGCTATATGAGAATAATTGAAATGGAAATGTCTGATAAAAATCTATCATCAGTCTCAAAGTCAGGAGACTGACGGAGAGGCAGAACAAATGAAGGTGTGCTTCTTTTTTTCCAACAACATCCACAGCAGCTCCTCATTTTGCTTCAGCTGAGAGGCAGATCTGGGCTTCCTCAGAGCTTCTGATTGGAAGTGAGAAGCGGCACAGCGGCGAAGCAGTTGATTGAAAGTGACCTTGGTCTAATTACAAAWGTGCTAATTAGAATTCCCTGTGTAGATGCTGGTAGGAAATGTAAGAATAAGATGCTGCTGATAGCCCTTTTCTATTGACTTTTAAGATATATGCTCAGTGATTGTTAAATTAAATTGATTCTAATCAGAGACAGAAAAAAACCACTGCTCCCTCTTTTCTGTTTGTTTTATCATTGCTGTTCTCTCCTGTTTTGTTGCGTCTTTTATTTTCCTCCAGGTTTCTCCTCTCCAGGTTGTTTGTCTCATGGGGCTGAGGTTACACTGCCCTCTAACTCCCATTCCCCGAGCCAGGATGACATCATCACATCGCTGCTTCATTCAAGGAGTGCCTATTCATCACCCTGATCATCATCGCCAGCATCAGCACACACACACACCTACACTCACACACATTAACTGCAAGAAGATAAAGGAGAAGAGAGCCTCAGTCAGATGTACAGGACTGCAAGCTTAAAAAAAGCTGAAACGAGTCAGATAGAATGAGGAGATCCTGCTGGGGTAGGCAGAAACCTTCTGACCTTTGCACTTCTAACAATACATCTCAATAAACCTGTGCAGATAAATCTGATGAGTCAGACGACAGAAGGAAAACAACAACATAAAAAGCAGACAAGAGAAGAACCCCTGCTCCCCCACTTCTAACACACACACACACACACACACACACACACACACACAC